GAATCCAGACTTTGACCAGACTAGACAATGTACCATACCAACTAATTATTATGTTGAAATTGATGTGTATATTTTGTTGTACAAATACTCATTAATGCCCTACATTTGTACTTAATTTGGCTTGATTTTCTATCTCTTTAGTTAGTAAGATTTTTAACTCAAGTGGCAGGAGAAGGCTACAAACTGCATTTCAGAAGGGTAAAATGCAACAGCTTCTCCTACGGAGATCCCCCCCTCTCCGGACCTCTCCCCCCCTCACAGCCGCGCGAACGTGCCCTACAAAAAAATTCCAGCACCACTCCCCTAAAAATTCCTGGGGAGACCCCTGGATATACCATCATGTTAGACTCTATTCACTTCATCCTACCATGTATATGTGAATAAAACAAGCATCAAGCAAGCCTTCAGGATGAATATTTTAGTTAGTACTCACCACATAGATGCCCCCGTGCTGACCGTCATGGATACGGTTTCGTCTGACGATGGGGTTACTGTTGGTTCTGATCTGGATACCTGCTAGCTGGTTACCTGTAGAAATAAAAGTAGACGTTTAGAGACAGTCTTACATGACAATGTACATGTGACGCATGGCTAAAACATAATCTTCTTTGCAATGATATTCAAATAAAATCAGTCAACAACCATTGATACCACTAGTATAAGTATTACAGAGGATATTGGTGATCAATTTGCCTGTACATTAGCACATTGGCAGAACGTATTGCCTGGAGACCTACACTTACCGTAGATGTCATTTTCTTCTATAAGCCCTCTGCCATCGCCAAAGATGTACACGCCACCCTGTCTGCCATTGAAGATGGAATTGCCCCTGTAACACCACATTATGATGATCAATGATATAAGAAAATCTACTGGTAATTCTGATTAGGCAAGATTTATAAATACTATCTCCACTGTAAATGTCAAAGAACAACATCCTCAAAGTGCAACCATACCGCAGTCATAGCAACAGCTGTTAGCATTGATACTGATAGATTACTGTGCAAATTCTTACATATGTACAAGATGACCAGGACTTCAACAAGTGTAAATGACATAAAACAGTTCTGGCGATGTGAAAGAAATGATGACAAACTGCCCCATTACAAAGCTTGCTTCTACTACAGTACAAATTGCTGTGTCTGTCTCCATATCTGCACCATGTCTTACCTAATGGTGGGATCGCTATGTGACGTTACCCAGATGCCAGCGAACTGGTTGAGTG